CAAAAAAATCTATTTTTTAAAGAATTTCTGAATAGTAATGTGTTTGGATAAGATATTCTATTTCTTATTTAGTTACAAGTAATACGAAAATCTTTTTTTTTTCCGAAAATATTTAGTTAAAACCTCGTGTCCTTGCCCCAAAAAAAAAGTTGTCGCTCCTAAATAGGTGGGGGTTCGTGGGTTCGAACGAATTCAGTAGCTTTTTCGTAGACCCTATATTTGTACTAAAATATTAAATAAATATATATGTGTATTAACTTGTGAATCTCTACCAAAATTGATTGATGGTTTAGTTGTAAGAAAGAGACGGTAGAAATATTTTTCACACGAGTTGTAGATTTGAACCCTTCTCTCCGCCTCTGCTTGTTCGTCAATTTATTACTCATTTAATATTATCAAGAGAGAAGGATCTAAATTTCTTTAAACTATTGAAATTGATAAAAAAAAATATCGTTAACTCATTGGCCATGAAATGCTCTTGAATTAATCTTTGTGGTCCTTTTATACCCTTATCACAAATAACCCTATTAGTTCAATTAATTAGTTTTCTCGTTTAATCATTCAAAATTTTAATTAGTAGGCGTTTGGCCATGCGATACCATATCACGATATGGTGTCGTGAGATGGAATCAGCGTTTGGACATGCGATTTTACGCTGATTCCATCTCATGATTCCATATCATGAGAGGTGATACCATATTCTCCAAAAACCATGATATGGAATCACCATGTGATTCCATATCATGATTTGAGATATTTTAATACAATAATTGATCCATGAGTTTATATTTTGTTAAAACAACCCCACATTTATATCTACTAACCATTTGTTTCATATGTAAATAAAATTTATAATCACATCATTACTTTATAAAATTTATTATTCTCACCAATATAAAATTTATTATCACTTTAAATTTGGTGAATATAAATGATAAAGTAGAAATTCATTTGGTGAATATAAATGAGAACGAAGGGAGTAATACTTTTTTTATTTTTCATAATAAAAAAAAACGTCTTAATCTTATGACTAAGCATAATATTGATAAACGACAATTTTCATTGGCGGTGCCGCACTTTCTTAATCTTAGTATTTGCAAAATGTCCGTTCACATGACTGAAGGATATCAAGTCCAATTGATTGAGGACTTGGGAAAATTTGATCAATTAGTTATTAATATTTAGTCAAGTGGACTAGTTATAATTTTTTTGATTAAATTTTATTAGAAGTGTTTTTGACTCAAACTTGTGGTAACTTTTTAAAATTTCGTTATTCAATAATATTTAACTATTGATTTTTCTTGTAAATAGATAGAAGTTAGTGATGTTTGTTAATTTTTATCTTAGTGCATTTAACTTCTAAGTTAATATTTACTCACTAATGTATGTTTTTTTTCTACTTTATAGGTTATTTGTAAGATTAGTTGAGAGATATGAGCATATCAAGTACAATTTATGTTCAATTTTTTTAATTAAATTAAAGTTAGATGAAACAATTATTTAACTGAAGAACAAATAACTTTGTAATAATTTATTATGCGATTATATAATTTTTGTTTATTTGATAAGATTGAATAAACAATTGGGGCTATTTTAATAGTTTTACAACTTATGGGATTTTTATGTTTATGAGAAAATATACAACACAAAAATTTCATATCGCATGTCCAAACAAACCTTCAATTTCATCTCATGATTCCATATCATGATACCATATCATGATTCCATATCATGATACCATATCGCATGGCCAAACGGGCCCTTAAACTAAAACTATTTTAACTCAATCCAAACCCAAATCCACTTATATGTCACATGATAGAGGTTTAGCCAAACTCTCCACACCCAGAGCCTCAAAATCTTTTGGTGATGGCTTTTGAAAACGAAAAAAATGTAATATTACTATGGATTTAGAGCTAGTTTGGATTGGCTTTAAAAAAAAGTAGTTTTTAAGTCAAAAATACAAAGTCAAATTTAAATGACTTTTAAGTCAAAAAATAAAAAGAAGATGCGAGACATACGTTTAGCATTTTAACTAATTTTATGTTATTTTTAACTTTACCAAACACTTCTCAACTTATTTTAAGACATTTTAAACTTATTTTATGTTATTTTTACATTTATCAAACACTTCATAAATCAAAAACTAACTTAAAAATAGATGTCAGACCAACTTTTAACACAATCCAAACACCCTCTTAAGCTACATGTATCGACTCTTCTTTTTTTAAAAAAAGAAGAAGAAGAAGATGAAAAATCAACTATACTATGCTGTGTTGGGTCTGGGCTACATCTAGAACTAGAAGTGATGGTCCAAGTGGACTGACCCGTTAGGTATCTCATTGAGGGTCCAAGACGCGTTGGCCCATATCCATTTTGCTTTGAGAAGTCGTTTGGTAGTTGATTAGTGTTATATAAATATTAGTAATATAGGGATTCATTATAAATGAATTAGTGTATTATTTTATATAGGATATTAGTTATGTAAAAATTGGTCATTTATGTATTAGTTATCCACCTTCTATCTTGCATAAAATAATATATAAATTCCTTCATAACATATACATGTATTACTTATGCAAGTTTTTAAATTGTCAACCAAACATCGTATTAATTTTATACATGAATAATCTATTTATAATATCTACCCATCAAACATTGTATGAGTTATACGACATTTAATACATGAAAAACTTGTTTCTTTTATCCAACTATCAAACGACCCCTAAAAGTCTGATTAAATGGACTTTTAATTTATTTTTATCATTTTAGCTTAAACAAAATATTTATAAATATTTTTTAATTCACTCAAAGACTTCACAAGTACTTGAAAATTAATTTAATTTAAAAAACACTTAAAATAAATCAAAAAGATGTTCTAAAATAACCATCTTTGATTATAATTGACTGACATGAAAAGAAAATACTCAAAGATTGGGATATATTGCCAAGATAATGATCTTTGACTCTCTTTTTTTAATTGTTGGCCTAGTATTGAGCATTATCCATTTATCTAAAGACCAAAATAAACAATTTTAGAAATGATTGGATGAAATGATAGAGACATTATGGGAAGTCAGAAACCACTTCTCTAACCAATAAATTCAGTTGCCTTCAATTCTTAATTTGGAGTTTATTGGGAATATTTTAGACAAAATAATAATAATTGCTTCTTGAAGAATTTCTAAATAGTGATGTGTTTGTGTAAGTTTCTTATTTAAACTACAGCCTACACGTAACATGAAAAATCTTATTTTTCGAAAATATTTAGTCAAACACAAAAGGTATATTATGAGTACTATATTTACAGAGTACTCAACTAGTTTGTACTTAATTTACTTCAATATCTTCAAATATTATTTTAATTTTATAATTATAAAATAGTTATTTCTAATACTTTTAACTAGCTTCTTTATACGTGTATGAATTTCATTAACAAAAAATAAAATCTACGTTTGAATTCGTAGTTTCGTACTAAAATTAGATTTATAAGAAAGGATCCATATATAGTCTAAAATCTTAATGCAGTGGATAATTGACCAAAACCTTTATAAAATCATTTAGAGACCTTTTTATTATATGGAATGGAGGACACTATACATATATATTCAATAATCAATCAAAGTTATAATGAAGTGTTAAGAGTGTTTTTTCATTTTTTATAATAAGATGTTTTTAATTTGAGTTTTGAGTATAAAATTATTTTTTAAAGAAAGTACTTTATACCTTAATACGAGAATTTTTTGCAAATTCAAATTTAATCAAAATTTAATGTAAAACCTAAATATATAATTAGAGCACCTACGCAATGATAATTTTAGTTCAATGTCTTTAGATGATCTAGTCCACAAAATAATAACTATATTGATTTTGTATTTAAATATAATATATATAATTAATGTATAGATCTTTTATATTTCAATCATATTAACAAATAGGTTAAAATAATTTTGGTTGAACGATGCATTGCTAAATTTTCCTTTTATAAATTCTATTTGTGTCCTGTTATATGACCCTAAATAATGATGCATGGAGTGTTCACGTAAGAAGTTCATTTGAATTCAACATTTTTTATAGAGAAGTGTAAATTAATATATTAATTAATTAAAATTATAATAAATAACTTGTCTAACACTAATTATTTTATTTCAAAAATATAATATGTTTAAACTCTATAAAATTAAAATCTTAAATTTATCTTTTTAACTCAAAATATAAGATAATTATATAATTGGTAAATACTTTCTAGCATAAAGTGTTTATCAATCGATTTAACTTTAACAATAATAACCATTTTAAATTTTTTATCAATTAAAGTAGTGGTACTTTCCCTTTCTTATTTTACATGGAATACTTTCATTTTTAATTTGTCCAATGAATAACAGTGATAATATTTTCTTTTTTCATAATTTTACTTTTAATACACTTGACTTGTTTAATTTAAACTAAAAAAAATTCAAAAATCCTTTTCTAAAAATATATTCTCATAGTCAAACAAATATCATTACATAATGAAATAGAAGAAATAATTAAGCAAATATTTTGTATATGAAAAAAATATATGTCTAGCATTTATTGATTTTAATATATAAATATTAAGTGTGAATAAGTATTTATTCCCCATTAATTATAAATATCATACTTGAAAACCTCTTTTCCTTTTGATATCTAAGGAGTGATTACACATGAAATGGGTAAACTTCTCATCAAAAATATTTTGGAAAATTAATATACTTTTCCGAATAAGTTAATTTTATAAGTTTGACCAAAAATATTTTGGAAAACTGATATAAATTTTCTAATAAGTTTAATTTCATAAGTTTGACCAAACAATCTATAGTAAATTAAATTTCCCTATAAATTACCTTTTTTTTCCTTCAAATATCAAATCTACAGTCGAATCATATTAGTTTAAGCAAATCCCTTAATCCATCATTTTGTGTTAATCAGTCTCTTTTATAAAACTCCTCACACCTCTAAGCACTCTTAACAAATTAACAATGGTTCCCCTACCACCTAACGCTACTTCGGCCATCAGCTCCACCGCTCCCGCCTCCTCCGCCGCTGCTGCCACCTCGAATGGGCTTGTTGTCGCCTTAATGGGCCCAGTGAATTCCTTTTGGGCTATGTGGAGGAAGAAACCTAATCATCGAAGTAACAAAACCAAAAAATCAGGTGAAAATTCATCGCTAGCGAAATCGAAGAAATTTCTGGCGAAGATAAGCGGTAAGGCTACTAATTTTATGCGTAAGAAAAAAGCTAAGAATGGGGAAGGTGAATATGGTGAGGATTTTGGCGATGGAGGGCTGTGGCAGAAGGAGATTTTGATGGGCGATAAATGTCAGCCGTTGGATTTCTCCGGCGTGATTTATTATGATCGGAACGGGAAACAATTGGCGGAGGTGCCGGTAAGATCGGCGAGGAGTAGTCCTTTGCCCTGTTATGTTAACGGATCATTCAGAGATTAATTAATTAATTAATTAATGAGTTAATCAGTTAATTAGTGATAACATCATGCAGCTTTTTCTGTGGGTTCTTTATGTGATTAGGGAATTAGGTTGATGTTTGGTTAGGAGTCAAAGCTGCAGAATTTAAGTCGTTTGAATTCTCCATTTAATTGGAGGATTTGTTGATGAATTTATGGGAAAAAATATTAATTTCAGCTAAGTTGATTGTTATCTTAATGAACTTTCTAATAATTCTATTTCTATTTTAATTAAGTTCTAAAGAGTAAAAACGTAAAGAAAATGAAATGAATATTGGAGTCTTCTTAATTAATAGAACTATTCTTATTTAATTAAGTCCCCTCAAATTAATCAAACTTTTCTTTTTTGGTATCACTAATAGGCCTAACGACATATAGAAAATAAAATGAATATTGGAGTCTTCTTAATTACTTCTCGATCCCAAGTTTTTTTTGGATCATTTTTCAAGCTATTAATAAGCCACTGAAAAAAGATCCAAAGAAATGAATTTATCTAAAACAAAACGGGAATAGTTAATATTTTTACGATTTTAGATATGTAATAGTTATTGAAAATAAAACATATTGTATTGAATGTTTTTTTTTAACATTTATATTAAAAAAAAACATTTAATATAATATCTGTTATCTTCAATCACTATTACATGTTTATCGTAAAATTTAAAATTATTTTTTAGTATGTAATTTGTATGTGTATATTTTTATATGGGTATGCTATTTGTATGTGTATATTTTTATATAGTGGTGAGGTTATAGTTACCGATTGTTAAGAATAAAGTTTCATTAAAGAGTGTTTTCGCATGGTAGAATTTTCTCCAAAAACATATGTATAGTAAGGGGCTGTCTGGATTGGCTTTTAGCTTATAAATTATAAGCCAAAAGCGATAAGTTAGCAATCCTAACTTATGACTTATGACTTATTTTGTTATTTCGGCTTTAAAGTGTTTATAAGCACTTTTAATAACTTTACTTAAAAACTTCAAAACTACTTAAAAGCTATTTTGATTTAAAAACACCTAAAATAAGTCATTCCAAATAAACACTAAAGTAAGCATCTGGTCACAAGATTTGGGACCTCAATTTGAAATTTTGATAAAAAAATCAGTGTTTAAAAATAATATTAAAGAATAACTAGTTATTGTTATTATTGATTTTTTGAATAAATAAATCTTCATAACTCGTGTTTATAAAAGCTCATAATAATATATAATCACAAATATTTATATATAAAAAATATGTAATTTATTAATATAACGACTTCCAATATTTTGCTACCTTATTTATGAATTATAATTCAAATTTACAAAACGGGAGAGGGAAAAATAAGAATAGAGACCAAAGAATTAAAGGAAATGACACTTCTATTTACTCTCTCAAGTCAAAGATACTTAAACGTTCATATCCGGTCAACACTGTATTTAGATTACATGTTTACTCCCTCAAAGAGACTTTAAATTAGTAAATTTAATTTTCTATAATAGATAACTAATTTCCCTTTAGTTTAATTTAAATTATTGTCTTTATAATTGGTATTTATGCACTTGTTGACATGCATTTAATACTATATTTTTCTATTTCCTGTAGTGCTTTGATATCCTCAATATATTATAGAAGTATCTATTGGAGTATTATTTTCATTATTATTTTTTGTCACATTACAAACAAGTTACTTATTCAATTTAACAACTCAAAATTCCACAAAACTACAAAAAGTCATATAATAAGGTTAAAATCTAACAAAGATCAATATATAATTAATTCCTACAAAATATCATACCAAGGAAAATGAAAACGTTACAATAATTTGATCGCGACTTTAAAAAAAAAAGGACAATGTTACATTCCAATTAAACAGCAAAAGCCCAACGACAACAACAAAAAATTAAAAAGAAGAGGTGAATGCGACAATTAACTCAGGTGTGAATGGAAAATCTCGTAGTTTAGTTGGTTAACTATTTGAATCTTCGATTTCTCACCTCGTAATTTCCACCTGTTTTTCCCAAAATTAAGCACCGGGAGCTGTATCCTTCATGACTTTATAATACTGAAGGTATCCACCAAATCCTCTAGCGTAATCCTTCACATCGGCGGTATCATCATAATCGTCTACCATTGATCTCCTGGTGCTGAAGTAGTTGTACACCCAAGTTACAGCGCCCAATGCTACCGCGCCGAATCCGCAGAGGGATAAAAATCCAACAGCGGCGATGAAGAGTGGGATCCAAATAGGACTAGTGATGAGGATCAATGGAGTGAAGAAAATTAACCCAAGGATTATGGTCGTTATAGTGATGCCAGTGAGGAGGAGCAAAATTCCTCCGGAGATAACAAGGGTTAAAAAACCCATGAGTTGATGAGAGGAATTAGGGATGTGAGGTTGTAGCAATTTGTGGAGGAATGAGGGAACGTATGTGGTGCGAATTGGCCTTAGAGGTAGTCTAGTTTGAGTATTATTGAAGAAATAATTGGGTGGCCGAGCAGCCATTGTTGCAGCCACGGAGGAGGAAAGTGGAGTGAATGTGTTTAAGTTAATTTTGAGGGGAAAATTAGAGAGTAATTAAAGATGGAGTTAAATGACACGTGTAAGGAGATTGTTTAATTTTCTGCATGTAACATGCATGGACACACGTGTCCCTAGAAAAAGATGAAAGAGGTTTTGCAGTTTATTATAGCCGAATGCGGAACCACTGTTAACAGTTTGGGGATTCTAATTTTTCTCTTTTTCTTATTATTAAGTTGTTAATCAGTTTTGTTAAGGGTTCACAAGTTATAATAAATACAAATATAAGATCTACAAAAAAGCTATTGAATTCGTTTGAAATCACGAATCCTACCAAGCTCCGTCCCTAAATATACCAAATAATCAAATATGAATCGTCCGACTCGACTAAATCAGTTTGGACGAATTACTAGTGACAATTGACATGTATATACTAGATTCTAGAACAAATAATAAGGTCACCAACAATTTTACCAACAAATAAGAGTTGGATGAATTAAATTTAGCTCATCTTAATTCAATTTATCTCAGCCTAAGTATAAATACTAGACAGGCCAGTAATGAGTTAGTATTTATTTACTCAATTTCATTTTAATTGTTCAAGTTCAACCTAACTTACCTATTTAACTCCCTTACATAATATTTCCTCCGTTTCACAAAGAATAACTTAGTTTGACTTGACATGAAATTAAGAAAATAAAAAAGACTTTTGAATCTTGTGGTCCTAAATTAAAATTATATCAAATGTACAAAATTGTCCTTTAATCTTGTGGCCCTAAATTAAAGTTATGTCAAATGTACAAAATTGTCCTTTAATCTTGTTGCCTTAAACATGCCACGTGAAAACCTGAAATTAAAATGTTATCAAAAAAAGAAAGACGTCATTCTTTTTAAAACAGACTAAAAAAAAAATGAAGTCATTTTTTTTAAAATGAAGGAAATACTTAGATATTGTTGGTGAGTAATTAACTTTCTTTCTTATTTGAATTACTATTACTCGTATCGATGACAACTAATAACACACTTTCTATTTTATTTTATATTATGATATTTGATTATATTCAATTTGTGATTTACTTCCTTTTGAAAAAAAAAAAACTAATAATACTTGTATCTAACATATTGCAGAATTTATGGAGTGAAATAGACTTCCGTTGAACACAAACTTATTGTATAGTGTCAGTGGCAAGTTGAATATCTTTTTACTGAAAAATTATACTCTCTTCGTCCATTTTTAATTGTCATAATTTATTTTTTTAGAATTAAATTATAAGAACTTTGACTGACATTTTAAGATATATTTTATCATCATTTTAATATGCAAAAAAATGTAATTTATGGTACTTTTCGCATAGTTTTTAAATATCTAAACTTTTTATTTAAAATATCAAATTAATTTAATCTTATTTAACTTTGAAAATCAGTCAAATTGACTTTCGAAAAGCGCAACATGACAATTAAAAGTATTAAATATATAAAAATTTATACAAAATATATATATAAAAAATTATTTTTCTTATGTCCATATTAAAATTGAATAATCATTAACTAAATTTGTAGATGTGCCCCTTGCATAGTATAATAGTAAGGGAAATATCATAAGTTATTGATCAAACTCAAAAGCTTAGACAACTGCTCTCATTGAGCTAATGACCTGGGAAAATTAAATGATACCCCAAACTAACATTCGTTTCTTGAATTTTGTATAACATTTTCACTCTTTTTGCTTAATGCATGTTGTGTGGTGTCAAACATAAAAGGTAGAATCATTTTTGTCATCGCATAATACAATATGAGAAAATGCACATATATATTCCCTCATCGAAATGACAAAATTATTCAGAATTTATTAGTTTCTTCTTGACCATCGATCTTCTTGATCTCCAAATGATAGAATGACGATCTGGACAAATATGGTATGGAATTTTTGGTGGAATGACTTCTGGAAAACTGCATATGTATCCCACAATTCAATAATCAGTTTTTTTTTTTTTTGGTAACTCGTGCACATATGAGAAGAAATCACCTAATATTTCTATCTAGGATGAGACGACTAAACTCTACTTTTGGTGCCACAAGAAAATTAAAAATGATTCAAGTAGAAATGACAAATTTCCATGTTTTTCTAGTTATATATATCTTTTGCCTGAATTGACTGGTGACAAACTCAGTCCTTTCTTGATCCCTTTTGCCTGAAATGAAAATCCTATCTTTTCACTACTTCTCTGTAGAGCTGTAAATATGAACTGATCCACTTCATCCGGGTTAACTCATACAGACTTTAAAATTTAACGGATTACGTTGAGCTAGCCTATTTTTTGTGTGGGCCAGAAAATAGTTGGCCCATCCCACAAGTACGTGGGCTACGAGCTTTGTCGGGCCAGTCCTTTTTTCTTAAAAGTATATTTTTTATAATTTTTTAAAATTAATTATAATTTAAAAATATTATCATAAATATCGACAAGAAAATGTTATATGGTGTTAGTGTTACTACTTATTAATTAAATACACAAATAAAATTATCTTTATAATATTTATTAAGCTTGATTTCAAGTAAAAGCATAAATAAATAGCTAAATAGAAATATTAAACTAATTATTTTCCAATGATTATAATAAAACACAAAAACTATGACAATATTCCATAGACTATGACCTATGTAGTAATTCCCTAGAAATTTTAGGAAATTGTTTTATGTAGTACATGTTTTATAAACATAATTTGTATTTAAATTGTAATATTTCAATCTTTAAACAGATTTTGAGTTTAGACTTTTATTATTTTTAATACTCTATTTTATTTTTATTTGGCCCATGGGCTGATCCTATTTATATTTCTCAAGCCCCACAAATCGGCAGACTTATTTAGACCGGGATAAAAAGCCCTTTTCTTAAATGGGCTCCAAAAATCACAATCCAACCCTATCAAATCACGGGTTAAACCAGACCAGCCCAACGGACCTAGCCCATATTCACGACTCTACTTCTCTATACAACTGCATATCCTTATTCAATTGGATTTAAGTTGTAATATAAAATCTTTTAAAAAAATAATCATTCAACTACTATCATTTTTAGAATTTAACTTATATACATGGACAGTGTACATAAATTTTCCATTATCATGACGTTTTTACCTTTTGTGTCGTATTTTAGAGATAATAAATTTCACATTTTATAAAGGATTATTATTAATAGATACACTTTGAATTCTCAGAAGGTCACTCAATTTATAGTTATTATCTCAGAAAGTCACCTATTTTTTCTTGATTCCAATTTTTTTTCAACAAAGAAGTAACTTTTGAGATATTAACTATTAATTGAGTAACAATATGAGAAATCAACTCGTTATAACTCTAGTTACCTTAAAACTCTAAGTCAGTTTGGTAAAATGGCATTTCATTTATTAGAGAATTTTCTAGCTTAAACCACAGCTACAAACAAGATATTCTGCATATATTATCCCCTGCTAGAGGAAATTAAAGTAGAGAAATTAGAGTACCATTTAAAAAATTGTCTGGACTACAAATTATATATTTAGTACATGGAGCAGGTAAGTGTCAATAAAAAAATCAATAATATTATCAGATGCTTCGTATTATGAAATAATCATATTGTTACCTCAGTGCGTTAATTTCAATTTGTGAGAAGTCCATGTTTGTTGAACTATCTTGGAAACAAATGGTCCTTGTCTTTGTCCTTGTGCCTGTGGTCATCAGTGGGGTTGGTTGCTTGATGGCTAATACTTTACAATTCAAATTGCTAGCAATGTGGTTGTGGGACATGGCCAACCTAAATAAAAGGAATACTTATTTTAGTTCCACCATACATGCATGATAAAGTTTTGTCAGGAGAAGCTTTTGAGGTTGAGTTAGATCAATATTCATTTTATTTTTTAAATGATCATGATATTGAGGCAGATTCATCTCAATTCATAGTTTACTCGATACCCTATGTTATATTATTCACACTTCAATTGCAGGACTGGGCATGTGCGAGTATTGAGATTGTCTTTCATTGGTTTTGAAATGAGAATTTGGTCGCTCCTTATATAATCTTGGACAATCGTTACTTTTTTACCTAACTTTTAGGATTGAGTAGATCAAAAATTTGTTTTTACCGCTCTTTTTCAATGCGTGAATGGTGTAATTTGGGGTACAGCAGAGTTGGTTAGCCAACCTAGTTGATATCAGCCTTGATGGAATATAACCCTTAATTTCCTAAAGGGGAAAAATGAAAAATATACTTTCGAACTATCGTAAATCGTATGCAAATATCCTTTATCATACTTTTGGGACATTGGTGCCTCTGCCGGTCCAAAAACTATAGCATATATACCCTTTATACAAACGGACATACACGTGTCATAATCTTATCCGCTGACCTGACATTTATTAAATATCGGATCGACGGATAAGATTATGACATGTGTCCCTTTTTAGTCTTCCGTTAGAGTGAATGACATATATACTCTAATTTTTAGACGGCAGGAGCATCAATGTCCCAAAAGTATCACAGAGGATATCTACGTATCATTTACAATAATTCGAGATATATCTATCCTTTTTCCCTTCCTAATATGTAATGTATATTCCATCAACCAACCTAGTTGATATTGGCCTTGATGTTGCCATGGTAGTAAAGAAATGAATATTCGATTTAACTCAACCACAAAAGCTTTTTTTATCTAGAATTGTTACTCCGTATCGCACGAACTTCTTAACCTTTCTCAATTGTACAGTGGATCGATTCAATTCACAAAACCTTTACTTAAATCATATTTATCAACTACTGACACAGAAGATTTGCAAAAGTAAAAGCAGATGAAGAATAATAGTACCATCTTTGTTAGTTAAAAAAACAAAACAGGGGACTGCTACTTGTAACTAAAAAGAAAAGAGGGGGGTGTGAAAATCACCTGTAAAGAAAACTCTGTTCATGAAGTCCAGCAACAAGAGTAGAAGCCCCAATTTCTCTAACCATAGCACCAATCTTTCCACCATCTTGATCCCCTTGTGTCACCACAATCTCTGTCTTCGTCTGTAACACAACCCTTCTATCATATACTCCATCAGTAACATACAAATTAAACTAATACAAACTCAAATAAAAATAGAAATTAAAGTAGTAGCATACATTGAAAAAATTGTTGCATATGTCTTGAAAAGAAAGAGCCAATTGGAAACCTTGGAGGCGTAAAAGCCTGAGTTTCTTCTTGCTCTTGGATCTTGTGATAGAGAATATGTGGAGAAGAGTAATTATATCTCCGTATCTCAACAGATTCTGAAGAGTCCACTGAAGTGCAGTTCTTGCTATCTCCACATCTTCCACTACTACCACAATTTTCCTTACATCCATGTCTATAGCCTCTTAGCTAGCAATTCGTTTAATTCCTCTGTTTTCTTCGATTAAAATTGAGCTTCGTATCAACTTTTAGGTCCTTGGTGAGCTACAGAGTTTTGACTACTCTCTCTAGATGATTGCAAAATGGAGAGTAGTTACATAGGAAGGAAACAGGGACCGAGTCTTTCTGCTTACAAATGGAGAAGGAAGTTTATATCAATTTATGACGTGTGATACAAGGGGCCCAATCTTTCCCTTAAATTAATGGTTAAAAGAATATGATAATTAATTTTGGCAAATTTTTAGATAGTACTCATAAAATTTCCAATAGTTCTAATTTGGTAAAATTTGCGTGTCTAATATTGGTTCTCAATTCTTAAAATATCAGAAATGTTCCTATAGGAGGTCAAGTTGAAGCAATCAATTTGCACACGTTATGATTAGCTGTATGAGTCATCCTTTTTCAACTTTGCCCTATTCACACATATTTTGTTCCACACACATAATGCTATTTGAGGGGACAGGGAGAAGGGGGAGAAACTTGGGTAATAATGCGAGGAAGCGTCATCACGCATTCACTTTCGCCCTTTTCAATACTGGAGTGACGACAGGAGACGGCAATGTGATCACACAATCCTACGTTTATGTTTGTCATTTTTTTGCAACTTTTATTATTCTTTCTTTCTTGGTTTATGCCCCGCGTCCGCTTATGACTTATATTGTAGTGAACACTCACTTTGAGGAGTTAGTAAGACTGACCAAGGATCTACAATTCATTCCTTTCTTCTAAACTTTTATACAAAAAAGAGGTGGGGGCTTCTTTTTGCTCTATGTGAAGGAGAAGCTAATAGAACTCACCAGAGGGTAGAAGAATACAACCATGGGTATAAGGTGAAAGTTTGTTTATGTTAGGAAGCTGAAGGGGAAATGTATAGGCGCTGACCATACAGAATACTACTGCAGGTTAAATCTAGCTTGCCACACAATTAAAAACATGACACTGCAAAATGTTTTCATGTCGATAATTTGTTATTCACAAAACTTCATCAAAGATTTTATTCAAGGAAGCTAAACTTACTACTTGTTTCTCCTAGTACAGCAAAGGTGCTTATGTATCAGGGTTATCAGCTGACTGATTACATACTCTTACAATAACAGGACTCCAAGTCCTACCCACAGCTCATCTTTATTATATATATATAACTAACCATAATGCCAAGTTAAACCTGACTAGAAGTTTACTATGACTAAATACTAGATAATGCCGGGTGATGTCTACTTCCTGAACACCATTCACAGGTACACATACAAGCTCTTTTCAAGTGACACGACCCCAAACAGTTCTTCCTTGGCCACGGCCACCACGTGCATTGTCGTATCCTCTTCCACGGTAGGATTGTTGAAATCCCCCTGACATGCGAGCTCCCTGACCACGACCCCGTTGGTTTTTCTGAATCTCACCAAATGTCTAGAAAACACATAAAGAAGTCTCGTCAGAAATAAAATTAAAGAGAAATTCTAAAGCAAAGATTTTTAAGATTACCTCGACATCTTTTTTCCTTTGTTCGGAGAACTTCACTTTCCCAGATTCACGATCAAGTGCATGGCAAGAAAGAGAATCAAAGAAGTCCTCCTTACAATAGACAGGCTGTAGAACAAAACGTTATCAACAGCAAATTGAGGAATACATGGAGAAAATAATGAGTAAGGCAAATATAAATTTTTTCCACCTGCAGCTTACCTTGTTATCATGTTTTGCACTTCCATCCCCTGTTGCATCCTCTACATCACTTTCATCCATCTCTTTCTCATCCCCGACTCCTTCATCTGATTCAGCTTTGTTACTTCTGCCTAGAAAATCCCATACCTCTTTCTTATTGAATTTTTCGTTCATTGCCTCAAAATCGAAATCCTCGGAGAATCTTTTAGCCACTAGGGGATACTGGAATAAAAAAAAAGGTATGCTCTGAGTACAAAGAATTGTGTTAGTTAACACTTAACAAACAGACAAGTAGTTTTATCTTTGATATTTGAGAGGATATGTTTCCATCAGAAGCAGGTCACTCTTTCTATTTCCCAATGATTCAGAAGGGGAAGGCAAAGTTTGCCAAGTTATTAGTGTATCAAAATGGGATAGAAAGAGAAAATGTCAAGAGGCATGCATTCCTTGCAGCTTGTTCAAATCCAGCCAACACAATTATCATCATTCAACACTCCCCAAACTATGTAATACTGGAAACAAGCTAAGGCATATTTATGGGACATTTATGGAAAGGCAAATTTATTACAACATCTTGAAGACTTATAAATTGTAATTCTCAGAGATTTTGCATCCAAGCTAAGGCATATTTTTGGGACATTAATTTAATTGAGGATATTTAGCTATTTCCATTTTTTTCTAAAAAAAAACAAAAAAACATCAAAACACATTAATTGCAATTCCAAGTTTCATGTGTCTAAACTACGCATTGGCTATTACTCATCAGATGACAAGAAAAATCATCTCAGGAGGTGATGCAAGCTTTACCGTGATAAAAGAACTAGGAGGGCTATAACAAAGGCATATTTGACAATAGTGACCTCCACAGTAAGTTAATGGTGAAGGCAATTTCGGAAAAATGAGAAGTAGGTAGAATTTTGCAAATACACCAAACAAACACAATCCAAGAATCACAACAAGACTTCAATGCCTCGATGTAACTGAACTAATATACTGAGAAGGAAATACAGCTACAAAGAATTGACAAGGATGTCATATGTCCACACAAGAATTTCAAAGAGATCCAAGTGCTAAAAGAATAGTTACCTTAGCTCCACGTCCCCGAAAATGACTTCCTGTGTTGCAATGATTGTGTTGAGGAACACCATCCCGAAATTGAATTCCTGTGTTGCGATGATTGTGTTGAGGAACACTATCACGAAATTGGATTCCTGTGTTGCGATGATTGTGTTGAGGAACACCATTTGGCTGCAACGATGTGGAAAATAAGTTAAAGAATGTGGTAGGCCATAATAAGAAGAATACAAGTACTCAAGTAGATAGTTTACAGAATCAAAGGACAAACCAAAATTTGGCAGTCATCAGAAGAAAGGGAGAATGAACTACTAGTGGAAAGTCTTTGCAATACTGAATTTATCAGAGAAAAGACCAATTCCAAAAAGAAACATAGAAAAAGCATGAAAATTACTTTAGAATATAAGCACGAAAAGATTAAAAAGCAACGGAAAACTAGCCAGCTGGATTACCACTTTTCCTCTGCCCATGCCCATATTACTCTGACGAGAATGTAGAGCAGCTCCAATAACCTGAAAGGTCAAGAAAAGTGGAAATCACTTCCTTGCCTACTGGTTAACGGTAAGATATGACATAGTTCAATACTTAATTTAGCCAAAATACATATAAAGAAAAAAATAATGGATCACATGCTCTAATTAATTAGAGTTACCCCATTTCCTCTTCCTGATGCATGTTTCCTGTAACTTTGTTGTGCATAAACAAGACCTCCATTTGGCTGAAACAAATTATAAGGAGCAAAAGGGCATATGTCAGAATGCATACAGAATAGAAACTTCTCTTTTTCGGCTTAGGGCCTTGAGGAGGCAAGGGAACAAAAGTAAGGAGTTTGCCCTAGGCACACAAATAAGTCAATTAGATTACCGCATTTCCTCTGTGTGCAGGGCCTCTACTGTTGTGATGAGTGGATGAAGTAACTTGGTGTGCCTGAATGAACATAAAACAACCCATAAGGTAAACAACAACACCATTGAAGGCTCAAATGAGAATAAAAACTACCAAGTAATGCTGAAAATTACCCCATCTCTTCCCTGAGCATAGTAACTTCTATTGTGATGAGATGATGTAGATCCACGTAACTAGAAAGAAAGAAAGGATGGTGTCAGCACGAAAAGCATACATGAATCTCCAAGTTATTGTATCAAATACAAAATTCATGAAATTCAGCAGTACACAACAAGTGAGAAACTGGAATACATAACGTTGCAAACATAAAAAGAAGATGGAGGAAATTATGCAATCAATAACATAACAATTATATTTAAGTACATAACAGAATTCGTTCGTAATCCCTCTTCCCAATTCATATAGCACACTTCCCAGAGAATCCCCATTTCTATATTTAGAAACAATTCATCTTTAAAATTCTCACTTTACATTTAATGAGATGATTTATATCCACATAAATGTACAAGGCTTGTTTTAGACCACAAGTTTCAAAAATCTTCTTTCTTTCTTAAAAGTCCGTGCAGAGTAAAACAGTGCTACATAAATTGGACCGAGGGAGTAAATAGGGAACATAAAGTCGGTTTACGATGATATTCATGTGCATTTATTAAAGGGTTAGAGCAAAAGTATTTTAAATTGGTAAATGTGAGTAATCCTGGCAAGAATATGATTAACAATATGATTCACAGAGTGTTGGTGGATTCGGTTAAGGGTCTCTTTAATATATTTTCTCTAATGCCATTTAAAAGTAACTGCAACAATGCCAAGCTGGTTACTTCTGCACAGTCTAAAGAATTTAATTACTACTCAATAACAACAAACAAAGTGTAATCACGCACACAAACATCAAAAAATATAAAAGGAAAGATATCATCAAAACACAGCAACAGTAGGTTCCTAATTTAACATCTAAGCTAAAATATCAGTTGTTTACCATTAATGGACACATCACAATATATGAGAGAAGGAATGGAGGAGAGAATGAGGGAGAGCAAGCTTCCATACTATTTTAGTTGGTGATTTTGGTAATGACTCCCGGGTTTCCTCAATACTCCCTGATGGCAGAGGTTCTGATACTGATGCTTGACCAGTGTATACATCAAAGTTTGGATTTTGCATTGACCGAGATGATGAGGAATCCTCCACTCCTGACTGTACCTCTGGTGTCAAGAGGTATAGTCTTGACAGATTGCTGAGAGATGCACCTTTTGTGTCTACAATAGATGACACAGTTTGCGAAAATGTTGGAAAAGAACCGGAAGTGCTAATGACGGAACTTGGTTCTTTCCTCACTGGAGC